TTTTTTTTTTGTATTATTCAAATAATTGCCAAAAAAATTTTTTTCTTTTAAAAGATCAAAAATCAAAACTTCTTCCTTTTTTTTTCAAACAAATATTAACAATGATTCATTAATGTAACTACTCATTTGATTTTTTTCAAAATTTTTGTAACGCTTATTTTGGTATATAAATAATGATAATATGATGATTCATTAAGATCCCATTTAAATCCCTTTTTTTTTTAAAAAAAAAATGAAATTTTATAAAGCTAAGCAGTGCTATTTTCATCATTATCAAAGATTTGTTCTTTGAAAAATTGCATTAATTTTTAATAATAAGCTAATCAAACGTGCTATAGCTTAAAAAAAAAAAATTACTGAATAGCTTAATTAAAGAATGAATAAATCACATACTTTATTAGTATCTTTTGATTTTAATGAAGAAGTTAGAATTTCTGTTTGCGATGCAAATAACTTCGAAAAAAAAAGGAAATAATCCTTCAAATATTGCACTTTTTTTATCGTTGCATTTTACATTCTTTTCTCTTTGACAGACATTTTTTAAATTTGAAAGGAAATTGACAATAATAAATAGTAATGTCACAAATTTTCAAGCTTTTTCCCTTCATAAAAAACAAAAATTTAAATATTTCGAAAAAATGAAAAAAAGTTTTAACTCTCCAATTTTCTCTTTTTTTTTTTGAGAAGGAAAATGACAAAAATGAATGAAAAATTCCGTAGGATAAAACAGGAAATTGTACTAATTTTGGCATTATAAAGTGATATCGGGGAAAGCACGCAATAGAACACAATAATTTCAATAATAAAAAAAAATTTTCAAATTCCTTTTTTGAATTTAAGAGGTATGAATCAAGCAACAGATAATTTAAAATAGAATTTGAAATTATCCGAACGAAAGTTTAAAAATATAATTTGAAATAAATCTATCTCAGTTGTTGAATTCACATAGTTGTCAATCCTCTTTGGAAAAGTAATTTTTCCTACCAATAAATTGTCCTTCGACTATCAATTTATTTTGAATTCTTTTGTTGATAATTACGAAAAACAAAACCACAAAACATAAAGAAAATCTTTGAAAATTTCAAAAAAAACGCTGCCATTGAATACTTTTAAATTTTATTTTATAAAATTTCAATAAAAATTATAAATAATAGCATTGATGACAACCTGAATTGTATTAATTTTCAATCAATTCCAATTTTTTATTACCATTTTTCTTCTTTGAAGGAAAGAGAAACATTATTGTTATATATCAATACTTTTGAATATTCTATCTTTCTTTAATAGCAGAATTACTAAGTGATACTGTCCGCATTGCTTATTACAGGTGAGAAATACCGGGAGATAATTTGGTGGGAAAGAACAACAAAAGAGAGAAAGAAGGAAAAATGAATTGAAAAAAAAATAAAACATTTTAATTTTATAAAATTATTCATTTGTCAACATTGTACTTTTGCTCATTTTTCTTCATCTATCCATCATTTAAATTAAGTAATTAATACTGAAATATGTAAGTAATTGATTAAGTTGGACAAATTTTATAAAAATGCAAATGTTTGTTTACTTTTCTTTCGAAATACTTTAAGCAATGTCAGTTTAACTTATCTTTCTTTATCAAATAATAACACAATTGCCATCAATTTCATTGCATCTTTCGCATCGCTGAAATTCGAGGAAGTGAAATAAGCAAATCGATTTTGAAACTGAAAAGATGACGAAATTTAGTCCTTTCATCAAATTTCAAATAAGATTTTCTTTTATCATTTATATTTCCTTCTTCCTATCTTATCCTATCTTTCGCCATTTTTTGTGAAACAAATATTGTTAGCAAGTTCCTTATGTATCATCAATATATAGTACTTATGACTACTTGTTGTGAAAAAATACGGCTAATAGATGAAATAATTGCATAATCTTTATCATACTCATGGTACCTCATTCTTCCGCTGTTACATTATCACTTCCCGATTTATTTTCCGCTGCTATATTATCACTTCCCAATTGTTTTATTTTCCGCTGCTATATTATTACCTCCCGATCGTTTTATTTTCCGCTGCTATATTATTACCTCCCGATCGTTTTATTTTCCGCTGCTATATTATCACCTCCCGTTATTTTCCGCTGCTATATTATCACTTCCCGATTGTTTTATTTTCCGCTGCTATATTATCACCTCCCATTATTTTCCGCTGCTATATTATCACTTCCCGCTTGTTTTATTTTCCGCTGCTGTGTTATCACTTCCCGATTGTTTTATTTTCCGCTGCTATATTATCACCTCCCATTATTTTCCGCTGCTGTATTATCACTTCCCGATTTATTTTCCGCTGCTATATTATCACTTCCCGATTGTTTTATTTTCCGCTGCTATATTATCACTTCCCGATTTATTTTCCGCTGCTATATTATCACTTCCCGATTTATTTTCCGCTGCTATATTATCACTTCCCGATTTATTTTCC